CCCTGCCATGGGCAGGGACACCTTCCACTAGCCCAGGTTGCTCCAAGCTCTGTCCAACCTGGCCTTGGACACTTCCAGGGATGGGGCAGCCACAACTTCATCACTGAACTTGGGAACAGACCTCAAGGGACACACTGATTTTTGATTTTTGATGTAAAACTCCAGTGCCCCCAGTGAGGCTGTGAGGTGCCTGTGCTCCTCCTGTGCTCTTCGTGCCTTAAAATCAGCTGGAAGCTGGATTAGGAGGTCACTGGATGAGTAGCACTAAAAGATTTCCATTAAAGAGTCACCCTCACCCTTAAAAGTGGCTTCATCTCCATTGTAGGAACAAGGACACATCTCTTTATCCTAAAGAACAACAGATGCATCTCCAGCAATGAGTGATGCTGAACAAACAACAGGAGAGTCTCAAGATCATTTAAAGAGTCTTTTGAGATCTGTAAGGTTCTGTTACAGCTGCAGGAACAAAGCCCAGGGTATATTCCCCCTGTACCTCAATCAAAACCAGAAGTCACACCATGAAACAAATAATGCACCATTAATAAGAGCATCTGGAGGAGATTTTGCAGAAGAGGGAGCTGTGTAATCAATCCCACTGTGTTTTCAGCAGGTGAAAGGATCAGTGTTTACAGCTCAGCACTACATTTTATGCTGTTATTTTACTGTTGCATCTAAAACTATCCAAGAAATAAGAAAATTCACTGCAAATAGGCTGTAGCTACACAATCACGTGGTTATTTATCATCTTTGAGCTTTTGTAGGTTTTTTTAAGCCATTCCAGAATGGGTCAGGTTGGAGGGGAGCACAGTGGGTTACCTGGTCCAACCCCCCTGCTCCAGCAGGGGCATCCCAGAGCACATGGCACAGGATTGTGTCCAGACACCTCTGGAATATCTCCAGTGAAGGAGAATCCACACCCTCTCTGAGCAGTAAGAGGGATTACTCCTAAGTAACTCCTGCTCTTCCAGACTTGTCCCTGTGCAATCCCAATTAAAGGATTAAAGGATGTTTCTGGAGAAGAGGTGTGAAAATCCCTGTCTTGGTAAGGTGGAATCAGAGAGTTCAACTAGTTCAGGCTCTTCCCCCGAACTTACAGAGTCCCAGAAAACAAAGAACTTGCCGTTTAAATTTGCTGCTGGTATAACTAAGAAAAAATACTTTTAGCATATTTTTGGGGAGGCATGGCCATGTCCCCAAATGCTCAGTGGTTTTAGCTGATGGCAGTGACTGGGAAACGGCAGGAGCAGCCCAGATTTTAACACTTTGAGAATTCAAGCTGAAATGAAGGAATTTGGAATTCAGGAACACTACAAAGCTTAGAGTTTTTGTTTTAGAACTGATGTCTTACCAAACAGAGCCATCTGTGTTCCCTCTGGGAAAGGTTCCACCATTCTGTTTCCATTGACGTGATGTTTATCTGGGAGGGCATAAAAAAAAAACCAAGTTATAATGTAATAGAATACATGATTTGCATAAAAACAACTCTATTTCTTTAGATCTATTGAAACTTGAAGTTTGATTTATGAAAGCCAACCTGTACAATCACTAAATGTGGAACTTCATGCTCTCTGTGTTTTAAAAATACTGTCCCAAAGTGCCAGGACAGAAACTGAGGATGAATTACAGATTGGTGGTTGAGACAAATGAGCTGATCCTGATGTCACAGGAACCTCCAGAGCAGCAATCCCTGCTCTTGAAAGGAGCCTCCTCATGCAAGGAGGAAAAACAGGGAATCATAATTCTCCTTTGCTTGTTTATATGATCAGGGAATCAGAGAATCATGGAATGGTTTGGGTTGGAAGGACCTTAAAGCTCATCCCATTCCAACTCCGACACCTTCCACTATCCTGTTGCTCCAAGCCCCGTCCAACCTCGCCTTGGACACTTCCAGGGATGGAGCAGCTTCTCTGGGCAACCTGTGCCAGGGCCTCACCCTCACTGGGAAAAATTTCTTCCCAATATCCCACCTAAATATCTTCTATTTCAGCTTAAAGACAATTAATGGGGGGGGTGGCACCCACGGTGATTTAAGATCCCAAATTATTGGGGAAGTTGCTGAGGGAGCATCAACCCTCTTCTGTTCTTGATACATTGAGGGGAGGGAGATGGATGCAAGAGAGGAACAGGAATCTGCTGTCAGAGAATCCTGGAGTCCCAGAATGGTTTGGGTTGGGAGAGACCTTAAAGTTCATCCAGTTCAATGCCCCTGTCATGGGCAGGAACATCTTCCACTAGCCCAGGTTGCTCCAAGCCCTGTCCAACCTGGCCTTGGACACTTCCAGGGATGGGGCAGCCACAGCTTCTCTGGGAATTCCATCCCAGCCCCTTATCACCCTCACAGGCAAGAATTCCTTCCTAATCTCTAATTTAAACCTTCCCTCCTTTCAATTTAAACCCTTTTCTCTGGCATCCTCCCATTCGTTTTTCCATCTCCTAAGATTCATCATCAGCAAGGGCGGCAGGAAACAAAACTGCCTGAACTCAAAAATACACATTTCTGCCCACAAAATACTTTACAGGGAGAAAACCAAGATAATTTCTCAGCACATGCATTATTTTACTTCCTTTAGTCCTGAGCCTGGTGAAGAACAAAACAGGTGAAATGAAGAATTCTCAGGGAATTCTCTGAAAGCAATATCAGGGAGGCACATTCCTAATCCCGGGCTGGCATCGAACATTCCTCAACACTCAATGAGGAGGGAAAATCAGAGTTGTTGCAACTGGAGCAAGAGGTGCCACGAGTCACTTGGTTGCATTTAGGAAGATTGAATGCTCTGAGGCATGGGAGAGGGGCTCTGGGGAGCAAATTGTTGGGAGGTTCCAGAGTGGGAGTAATATGAGCAAGGTTGCAACCTCATAAGCCAGAGCTGGTGCTCCCAACATGATCTACAGCCACCTGAGAGGAGTGAACAGTCAGAAGAATTATGAAACATCTTGTAAGATCAAATAAACTAACCCTGTCCCAGCCCTGAGAGCTGCTTTCATTTAAGGAGTGAGTGACACAGATGATGTATGAAGCAGTTTTCATTTCAAATGGGGAGGCTTTCAATATATTAAAATTAAAATTAAACTTTTAGAGGTGAGATGGGCTTGAATGAAAGTAATATTTTCAGAGTGCTCAAGTTGTCTTCCAATGCCTTCACACTTTCATTGCAAAGATCTTTGCCAGATAAAATAATTCATTTTCTTGTCATTCATACTTTGGTTTACAATTCTTCCAGTGTTTCCTGCCTAGATGCAATAAATAGTAAAAGAAAACCCCCAAATTTAAAAGGACTTTCACAAAATATACATTCAACCCCAGGAAGAAAGTCACAACATAAATAACAACACATAAGTAATAAAAACTCTCAACAAAGACACTCATCAGAGAAATCCCAGTTCGGGGCTTTTTACTCAACAGTTTTTCATGTGAAAACATTTTAATTCTCACCTACAAATTGGATTGAGTAATTCCAGAAAATCAGAATTACATTGGCAGCATGGAATTAGGAAAAAAAAAAATTAAAAGGCCTTTCCCTGTAACTTGTAACAGAAAGAATAAATGATTTTCCAAACCCATCATCATTCCAGAGATAACAGCTTGCAGTAAGTAGGATAAATCCTGGTTTTACAGAGACATGGAGGTTGTCAGGGAACACTGATCTTCCCTTCAGCTTCCAATGTGGAAAGCAACACATTCCACCCAAATTCTGTTCATATTTAAGAGGCTAATCCATCAGTGGAATACAACTGGATTCAGACACTTGGAAAACTGAAATTGGAAGGACATGGATTAGAGAATCCCAGGATGGTTTGGATTGGGAGGAAACAAAGTTCATCTTATTCCACCCCCTGCCATGGGCAGGGACACCTTCCACTTTCCCAGGTTGCTCCAAGCCTCAACCAACCTGGCCTTGGACACTTCCAGGGATGTCTTTATGTCATTGTTTTATCTCTTGACCCCCAGGGTTTCAACAGCCAGTTGACCAGGAAGAGATTTTTCCTTCTGTTTTATTATTTTCAAACTGTCCGAATTTTCATGGATAACAAATTCACAACCGAACAACAGGGGGACTTCCTCTCAAAGCTGCCAAATACTGCTCCATCCTCAACTGCCAAAACTCCACAGATTTCCCAAACTAAGCCTGAGAAATACGTGTGACATCCTTTGCTCTCTGCTGAGCACAAGCAGCGTGAGCTGAAAGCAACACATGTCCTGGAGGATTTGACATTCAGCTTCGCCTCAGGCAAAGTCTACTTCACACAGGTGCAGTGCCTGGCTTGTGCTCCTTAAATTCTTTGGGTTTTAATAAAAGTAATCCTCCCCACATCCTCTGCATCTGTGACACAGCACAATCCATGGAAAGATAATCCAAAACTGCTAAACCATTTCTTTGGCATTACTCTGGTTTTGCAGCCTCTCGCTTGATGGTTTCGAGCACAGTCCTACAGTTGCCTTTGGCTGAAGATTCACTGACTGCAAGTTCTGTCCACACATGGATTATCATGGAATCAAGGAACAGTTTGGGTTGGAAGGGACCTTAAAGCTCATCTCATTCCAACCCCTGCCACGGGAAGGGACACCTTCCGCTATCCCAGGTGGCTTCAAGCCCCGTCCAGTCAGGCCTTGAACACTTCCAGGGATCTAGGGGCAGCCACAGCTTCTCTGGGAATTCCATCCCAGGATGTCACCGTCCTCAGAGAGAAGAATTCCTTCCCAATATCCCATTTAATCTTACCCTCTGGCACTGGGAAGCCATTCCCTCTTGTCCTGTCCCTCCATCCCTTGTCCCAGTCCCTCTCCAGCTCTCCTGGAGCCCCTTTAGGCTCTGGAAGGGGCTCCAAGGTCTCCCTGGATCCTTCTCTTCTCCAGGTGAACACCCCCAGCTCTCCCAGCCTGGCTCCAGAGTAGAGGGGCTCCAGCCCTTGGAGCATCTCCATGGCCTCCTCTGGACTTGCTCCACATCCTTCCTATATTGGAGACCCCAGAGCTGTAGGTGGGGTCTCCTGAGGCTGAGAAGAGGAGGGGAATCCCCTCCCTCCCTGCTGCCCAAACCACATTAATCCATATCTGTACAAGTAAACCATTAAAAGAGACAAGTCATGTCTAGAAACTATTTGAGTGTTAATTATCCCAGTTGAGATCATGTTTGATCCCATCCCAACAATTTCTCAGCGTGGACAATCGAGTTCCAGCACCCAGACCTATCCTCTGGCACCTTTTAATTTATCAGTATACATTCCATTTATCCTCACAGTTCCACGTGTGCCAGTGGTATCACACCTGTAACAGATAAATTTAACAATGAAATATGCTCCAATGAGCAAGTTCTGCAAAAAATATTTCCTTTCAAACCAGCCTGATTTCAGTTCTCACCAGATTTATTGTTCTGCTACAAGCCTTGAGTAAATGTAAAGGAACTGTAGGTTAAGGTACCCACAGTCATTAATGAATATAATTTGTCTGTTTGTGAACCCAAATGAAGCTGCTTAAAAAAGACTTGGTTTTCAGAGAATGCTGATCCAGCAATGAATAAAAATCAGGGATTTTCTGGTCTCAAAATATTCAATCTCAAGCAATCACAGTAAAGATTTGAGGACATTTAAATTTTATTAATAAGAGATTCATATGTTCTTCATATTCATCTTTTGATTTTTAAGCCATTGGGGAATATTTATACTGCATATCCAAACTTGTTTTATCAGAGCAGCCAGAAAGTTATTATTTTTAAATGAAAACTGAGATTCTCACATAATCAAATTAATCCAGGAGTAGGGGTCATATTTATACCCAAGGACTGTTAATTTTCCATGGCAAGTGCAGCCAGGAATTGAATTGAAAATAGTTCATTAACCAATTACCAGGAGCCTCCTCCATCTCCTAAAGCACAACCACGATGGGAACAGGGGGAGAGGAGGAGGAAAAGGGATGAGCAGTGATGGGGTGAGGGGGAACACCCTGAAGGAAACCAGCTGCTCCTTTCCCCTTCCTGTTTTGCCTTTTCCTACAGTTTTCCTACACTTCCCATCACACCACAATGCTGGTGGTTTTTCAGTGTCAGCTGTGCATGGACTGTACAGATAATATTTACTGTAGTTTCATTTTAAACCCAAGTTTGGAGGCAATAAAGGGGCTTAAAACTCAGCGCCAGGCCTTTGTGCCAAAGGCTGCTTTCATCGGAATTAGGAGGGGTGAAGAAAAATGTTCAGCATTGAATAAGGGAGTTATTTAAATGCCTCTTAAATTGTAGATGTCAGAGGAGTATGACACCCACAGTCGCAGCTCCACCTCCCCAAAGCAAAATAATAAAAAGCAGGATGAAAAATGCCATTGGAAAGCTCAGAACACGGAGACAGACCGGTGGCATTTCAGTGTCACCTCCAGCTGCTGTGGGCTTTGATTTAAAAACTCACTGAATGCCCCAGTTCAGCTTC